AGGCGGATTGAAAATAGAACAGGGGTGGACTACTCTGTTCTATATGAGTGTACAGGGAATTATTCTGTCCCGTTGCATTACGCTCATTCCTTGCATTTTGGTATTGTATAAATAATAATAAATAAAATTAAAGGGGTGTCCCAAACAGCTCGTCACATCATGAAACACCAGAATGTATAAGCTTTAGGATCACTAAAGGGGTCATATACTGGTACTGCAGTTCACAAATTACCTACCTGTTTTTGAAGAACCTTTTTTTGGGTCTCAAAGATTCCAATACAGTTTCACAAAAGCAGAATTCTCTCATCTGTTGTACACATATGTAGATCAAAGAAAGTTTAATAGAAAGAACTCCCCTAGCTGAGCTGAGAGTATTGGAGGAATATGAATCAGAAATGTGGTACATTTAAAATTACTTGAAATTACAAAAATTCAAATCATCCTTTTAAACGAGAAGACTAATATACTCCTTTTATTACACTAATAATGCAAAGGGATGAATTGTATACATCGTTGGTTTGCTGTCTGTGATTTATTACAGAGCTATTAATATACTTATACTTTAATTTTAAACCTAATCACAGCAGAGCAGCAAAGTACTAAGCGCCATTGAAATTGCAGTTTTAACCATAAACTAAAATATCTAAAAATGTATCAGATTATTGATTGGTTATTGATAAATGTGGTAAGGTTAAACATACATAGGCTGATTTCTGTACATTAGATTATTAAAATAGCTACATATTTGCAATGTCCAGTGTGATAAATGTACAAGTGTAGTTCCACAAATAGTTCCACACCACTATGAACTGGGCAGGATTTCTGATCATTGAAAATATATGTACAATAATATATATATAGAAAATATAAATACATACAATGAGTTGAAGTCAGTTTAAAAGAAAAATGAGACTGTAAATATAAAGCATATATGACATCATAGAGTTATAGCCAGATAATAAAAAGTGACTTACAATCATTTTTTTTTTATTATTTATGGTTATTTTGTAAAAAAAATTGGACAGGTTTGTAGAAATTTTGCCTGTCAAATTTTGTACCCGTTGACAATGTGTAATGCTGGCTAGCTAAATTAACGCCTGCTGTACATGCACAGTCCTGAGTGATGTACCATAGATCACACCTAAAAACACTTGTCAAGACATTGATTAGTGGGAAAAGTATCGATATCATAGTAAGCAAACAACACAATGTGTCAAATATCCAATTTTCACACATTTTCTTTTCTCTATAGGTCTGCTGGATTTTGTTTCATCTTTGCATGTTTTTATATGTTTTTAACTACCTTCCCATTTTTGATTGGGGCACCTCTGCAGAAATTTGTATGCAAACCAATACTGAGTGGGGATCTATGGGAACAGGTGAGAATTAAGCTTTTCAAAGATTTGTAACACCTATTGTTTAGCATTAACAACTGTTGGTATACAGGCATGCAATTATAAATAATTTAGAGGTTGAGTTACGGTGAATGAGTTGGTCTTGCTGAGACATTTTGCTGAGATCAGCATCTTTCACCATCAGTGACATTAGCAAAAATATTCATTGTTATAGAAGCTGCCTTGGCAGTTCTTCACCATCAAACACATATATACTGTAAAAACTCGGCCACTCACCTAATTATTTTGCAGATTTTCATAATATATTGACTTATATTCCAACCGTTCACTGAATTGTGCTGTTTTCAGTTCTCTAAAATTTCACTCACCTCAGACCAATGAATCAACTCTAATTATCAAATTTTGAAGAGTTAAGTAGTTAAGGATTGTTAAAATAGGGAGATGTGAACATGCTTTATTTCAACACAAAATATGTTCTGTATTGATGTTTCTGTACATAGTAAAAACTGGGGACAAAGAAACCGTCTGATCGAAATTACCTACGTTCTTGAAAATAGAGTCAGTCTTATTGCCCTTTGTTTCCAAGTAAAAAACATTGTGGCCAAAAACTACTGATTTTTTTAATGAATTTTTCATAAGAACATTAATTCACCCCAGCAGTTAGATAGGTTATTTTAAATTAATAAAGACACTCTGGGAACCAAAATGCAGAATGTAAGTCACTAGTGATGAAAAACTGTCAAGCTGAGAAGGGTTGAGAAACTGCATTTCAAAAAGAGTTTATATAGAGAGTATATAAACATTCATGCCTATAAAAAATTCACTGTAAAATTTCATAAATACATTGTAAAAGCTACTTTTACAGAATAGTTAGAGATAGAATTTGTAACTATATGGGTTTCAATTTGAGAGAACTCTAACACTAAGTTTTAAATCTTCCTAGTATGTAAATCACATATTTCAAAGTAAAAGCATATAATAGTTTGAAAGAATATATGGGTTTCAATTTGAACGAACTCTAACACTAAGTTTTAAATCTTCCTCGTATGTAAATCGCATATTTCAAAGTAGAAGCATATAATAGTTTGAAAGAATATATGGGTTTCAATTTGAACGAACTCTAACACTAAGTTTTAAATCTTCCTCGTATGTAAATCGCATATTTCAAAGTAGAAGCATATAATAGTTTGAAAGAATATATGGGTTTCAATTTGAACGAACTCTAACACTAAGTTTTAAATCTTCCTCGTATGTAAATCGCATATTTCAAAGTAGAAGCATATAATAGTTTGAAAGAAAATATGGGTTTCAATTTGAAAGAACTTTAACACTAAGTTTTAAATTTTATTGCAGACAATTGATAACTACGATGGTTGGTCTGAAGGCTATTTTCTAGGTGACCTTGTATTCCAGAACAGCAGCATTGAACTAACAATGACTGGCGTATTAAAGTAAATATGATTGTTATTCATTCATTCATCCATTCATTCATTCATCCATTCATTCATTCATTCATTCATTCATTCATTCATTCATTCATTCATTCATTCATTCATTTGTTATTGTGGTTTATTACAGGGACTGTGGTGACAATAAGACACCCTATAAGGCTTTAAAACTGGACAACCTTAATCTTCTTGACCAGTACCTAGACTTTGAACAAGTAGGTGTAAGATGTAATAAACCTTACATTATTGGATGGTGGCAACAAGTCTTTAACTGAAAATGTATTCCCGACAGATCTTTTGTATAATGATATCCATATCATTGAAAACATAATTTGTAGAACTAGGGTATAAACATCAAAGGAAATTGAAGCTCATGTTTAGGCTCTAAAAAGTAAATGATTTTTTTCAGGTCAGTTCAAGGGACACTGCTGAAGACATTTTTTCTGCCAAAATACTGTAAAAAATTAGAATAGAAACAATTAATATAAGCCTGTGTGTGTGTGTGTGTGTGTGTGTGAGTGTGTGTGTGCGTGCGTGCGTGCGTGCGTGCATGCGTGCGCGTCCATGCCTCTGCACGGGTGGGTGTTTGGATGTGAAATCAATGTTGTGTTGACGTTCGTTTAAAACAATAAGTGCAGACAACTAAACCAAATGACAACCCTACTTTTTCATAGCTTAGGTTTAGAGAAAGAGGTAATGTATGATACATTTTATATTTAAATAGATATTGTCTGTATCATAATTTTCCCTTTTCTCTAACCTTTAGCTACGTACATTCTGTATGTTAAGTTACAATTGATATGATGTTTCTAATTTGTTGCATTCTAGTAATTAAACTTATTTAAATCACAACCCTAAATAGAGTAGCATTTTAATGCAACTGTATTTCAACAATAATAAAACTTAATTAAATAAAATTTAACATGTTGTTATAATGGAGTGGATGAACCTTATTGTTTTAGATTTTCTATCACAGAGATAACAATTGCTAGTGTAATTGAGTTCAATATTATTTGGTGAAACTCAATAATTCAAGTGTTTTGTTCAATCTAATTACAAAGTTGTTGGTTTATTGGCAAATGCAGTGATTATACATTAACAAACTTACTATTAAACATGCATTTAATTTATTACTTTTTTTATTTTATGACAGTATTTAAATGCTTCTGAGTTTGATGATATGAAAAATGTGGATTTCAGTAACATAGAGATAATGTCTGATGAAACTGAAGACAATTTAAATGATTTCAAAAATGCTGGTGTTCAAAACATTGACTGGACAGCTTATGAAGCAGAGGTAAGATTGAATACATTTAATATAACTAACCATACTTAATTTTCTCCATCCTCTTTTAAATGAATTTATCAACCTCTTTAAGCTAAGGCCAGACTTTTATTATCCCTTGTTTCGCGAACCCGCCGAATGAACAGGAGCTGAAAATGAAATAAAAATAAAATTTTATTTCAGTGTAATTTCTCGCGCCCGCCGTGCAAAAAATTGCTAGAAAAAAATTATTTTTATCTTCATTTTTTTTCCGCCTGCCGCATAACAAACCCAAGTTGCATTTTCGTGGGAGTATCATGATCAAAGTATCGAAGTCTCGCAGAGATGAGAAACAAGGTTATACATGGAATAAAATGTTATTTCATTTCTTCTCTCCGACCAATGATCTCACTTACAATTCTTTGAGAAGCACACAAATGTAATGGAAAAAAAGAATTTATTTTATTTTTTTTCCACCCTCCTCAAAAAAATTGCCTTATAAAAACTCAAGAAACAAGGAATAAAAAAAGTCTGGCCTAAAGAAAATTTATCCATGACCATGAAGAAATTTGTGTATAGCAACATGCAAATACCAAAAATATAAACACTACTAAAAAGTCAGTTTTTGTCAACACAGGTAGTATACCTAACGAGGAACTGGGTTATTGAGGTACAAGTTCAGTTAATATAAGTTAAAATCTAAGCAGTATTGTAACTTAAATTTCATAATGCTACATTGAGGCATCAGATCATATTTGATACACAATAAAATATTGTCGTGATATCATCAAGATATCAATAAAAACTATGCACTATTTTTTTGACCACTAAGGCGAAGAACAAGTTTGCCCCCCCCTAAATGTTTGAAAAGTGAATTTACACGTAATTAAACTAATTGGTTGATATGAGTGTATTTTGAAGTTTCTAAGTTATTGCGCTAGGTAAGTTGTGTTTTTGTTCTCCAAAACAGTACTCTATGATCATACAGTTGTGTAATAAAAATATTATTATTCTAAAACAAAATTTGGTTATCCAGTAAACCCTTTTGAAAATAGTCTATATTGAGTTGATTTTAATTGAATATGTATGTTAACAGTTAGGTTTGCTGGATCACACTCTGGCAAGTTATTGAAACCTTTAGTTTCTTTAATCTAACAGTTGTGTTTACTTTTTAGCTAAATGATGATTTGACAGATTATGGTGATGATTTAACCGGTTTTGCAGACTTGATCAAAAAATATATTGATGATAACAACGTACCTGTGAGTATTCAATCAGTTGTCAATTTCATTGTTTGAGGGCATATACAAGGACTAAAAGTACCTGGGAGTACTCAATGAGTTGTCAATTTCATTGTTTGAGGGCATGTAAACAAAAGGTTTGTCAGAATATAGTGAAATTTAGATGGGTAAATAGGTAAATTGTATCATGCCTCTGAATCATTACATCATCTATTATTTAGAATAATATCGCCTCTGATGTCATAATAACATAGACACTCAGAATGTTGTTGATGATAAAAAGGATGGCTGATACTTTTCGATGC